AGAGTAGCTGCAAGCAAGATTAATTGAAAGCTTTGTGTTCAGTACTTTGAAGCAAACATCTCGGATAAAAGACGACTTATTTTGTGCTTCAGAAAGCTGAGCTTTGTCTACTTGGTGACAACAGTCTGCCTTGACTTTCATATTTTCAGCACTGCTACAGACCTCAGAAAACCCTGTAAGATTTGGGACACTGATATTATGGAGGAATAAGCAATATGCAAGTTGGCACTTTCCACTGCTACAAAAACAAAAAAAAGACAAGCAACCACTACTTAATGAGTTCACTCTTTCATAGCTTAGGTACCTGACTGGCTACTTTTTGTAAGTGGGACAGGCCCACTGGGATTCTTAAGTTACTAAACAAAACACAGGAATTTTACTGCTTCCAGCCAGAAATTCCGGCTTTATATAACAAGTGTCTTAACAAAAACACTAGAATTCCAGCTAGTAAAATTTTACTCATGAGCTTAATGCACATTATTTCCATTAGTGGGGAAATATTTATTGATTGATCGATTGATTGATTAGGCAATTTTTTATGCCAATGCAGACCAGAAACCCCCCCCCCAGTAAAATAAAACAACACAGAAATAAGGCAAATAAAACCCAGCACAATATATGGTGTCAGGCCCACAAAGCTCTCTGGAAAAGCTCAGTCTTCAGCTTTTTCTAGAAGGCAGCAATGCCAGAGACAAATGAAATATATCTGCCCCAATAACCTTTCATGCAACATTTTATGATAGAAGCACACCAAACAGTTCACAGGGTACCTTTTACTGAACTCTGGGGAAAGATTAGTAAGCTTTTTTGCTACATGAAACTCAGACTGTGGCTAATTTACAAATTAGACTACAATCCTATAATTACTTACCTGAGAGTAAGTCTATTGCACTTAATGGGACTTAAATGGGATATGTATGGGATTACACTGACAGTTACCATTTTTCCTACATTTTGTCTGAATACAGCAAGTGATTGGCCATAGCTAATACACAGAGTTTATGAGATATCTTCAAGCTGCAATTCAGAACTCTGAATTATTATAGTAGGAAAAATTAGCAAAAAGATTATCTCAAGAATAGCAAAGATCAGCAAAACGATTATCTCAGAATAATAAAGGAAGGCTGTAGACTATTGAGAGTCTACACCCTTTCTCTGTTATTCTGAGATAATCTTTCTTTACTAGCAGTTCCACTGTTTAATCATAATTATGGTGTTGTATAATATTTCATTTTGGGGTACAAAAGCATATTAGGAAATGTGTCAAATTCCTTCTCAGTCCCATTGTGCCAAATGGAAAGGCCAAGGGTTCTTCTATGACTAACCACTGATGTTCAACTCATTTGATTCTTCACATCCTGCACACTGATTGCTTAGCCACATGTATGAACAAAGGTAATCAGTTTAGCCTTTCTAAGTTTGAAAAAAATGCCATCATTTCAGCATCCATGAAATTTAAAAAACTTCACATTAATACTTCAGACTTCCAATAATAGGTCAACTTATTTTTAGCCATCCCTCACTTCACACATATCTCACCCTGCTTCAAAATCCATGGACAGATTCACATGAAATTCTCCTTATGCGCAATCTTCCTTCAGTTAGTTACTGCCCATACATGAGATTAGAAAGTGGGAAGAGCCATCAAAGAATGAAAATCTCCAGTGAATGGCACAGCATTTGGTAACTCCAATCACTGAGTGCAAAAAAATTATTTATGTACCAACCTATTTGCATTATTCTTAGTAAACATTAATTTCTGGTTTCTGGAAAAACAGGTCAGTAGAAGTCAGAATGATATGACAGTATGCAATATTTGGCATAATTAAAAAAAAATTACATTTCAGTCTGACATGTCTACTAGTGTATACAAAATATTTATATTATGTGTATATATTTACACCTGAATACTTCAGAGAGAGAAAAAGTAAATAAAGTTTGTGATTGGACATACTGAGGTCCAATAATTTCTGCTAGTTGTCAGAAGGATCAAAAAAGTCAAGCAAGAGTTTCATATTTATGAATACCAAGGAATCTTGCGAAGAGGATCTGTTAAAGTTATTTTTTTCAGCAGGAAAGATAATGCATGTGAACCATTCATGGGAATGTTTCCAAGACAACAGAGACACTTTTTATCAAACTTCCACCACTGTGTTGTATCTTCTTTTTCTTTTTTCCAGCATTCCATTTAAGAATGAGCTTTAATATATGCTACTTATTGGACAGTAGCAGAAGGAAGTGGTTTGCCCTCCAGCATGTAACCAGTGGTTCGTTCCATTAAGTCTCTGTTGAAAGCATGAAACATTTTTTGCCATGGGTCAAAATATGAGGTAGCAAAGATACTAACAAATGCTTCAAGCTGCTAAGGTTTCTTATTTCATTTTTATGTAGCTTCACGATGTTCTTGTATGTCCTGAGTCCTGTTAAAATCGAAGTTGTATTCATGTAATCTGTGATGAGGCCTAGGGGAAATAACCTGCTCTGGCTCTCTCTCCGTGATGCCTTCATTTTGCAGAAGTTGTGGCACCTCATGGGTCTTAGATGGAGATGAAAAATGAGGGTGCAACAACCCCAGATCATTATTGATACCCCATAAAGACTGTTGAAAAAGATCTGTGGAAGGAAAAATTAGAAATCTGAATTTGGAAACAACCTTAGTACTAACATTCTCTACTATCCCCAATTTTAGCAATAACAATACATTTAAACCATTTTTTTTCACTATTCTTCTAGAAGTACTAGTAAAATATGCTTAGGAATAATTTTGTACATTTTATAAAAAGCTATATATTCAGGTATATCTACAAAAAACATAAGATATCCAAGGAGTATTACAAACTACTAAGAACACTTTTTAAGAAGCACATATTTAAAAATATTTATAGAACAATCGCAGCTTCAAAGTTAGAAAGGTAACTTTACTACAGTAGACCTATTTTTTTTAGTCAAAATTCTATTTTATTTCCAACATTAAAAGTTGCAAGGCATATTTGCAAGATATTGTGTAATTCTGATCCTTATTCACATGAGAATTTACATTGTGAAATAATCCCAGTCTGGAAATTGGGGGTTAATCTTTTTTTGGGGGGGGGAATTCATGAGCTAATAAGGGTATTAATAATTTCTGATTGATCCAGTCATCAG